CCCCAAAACCCCAAAACCCCAAAACCCCAAAACCCCAAAACCCCAAAACCCCGAATTTTCATAATAAATTTGAAACTGGAAATGATGCCTAATCATGGAGGGACGGTCGATGAGATGATTAATGATTTAAGTAAGTTACAGAAGAAGCAGATGAAGGAGATTGAGAAGATGATTGAGTATGAGAAATAAAATGCAAGAAATTAGAGAGGAAAATGAGAATAAGATTAAGAGACAGCAAGAGATCGAGAAGCGCAAAGAGAAAATGATATTTGTAAGTTGGAAAATTTTTAATTTTAATTTTTGAGAATACCTCAGATTCTTAAAAATTCCCCTTATGTGACAGTTTTCTCAGTTTAGTGAGCTTTATTATCAGTATTTATTATTATATAGCTGAAACAAAAGGAGAAGCTTCTTCAGGAACAGAAAGAAGCAGAAATCCGAGAGGAAAAGCAAAGGAAGAAAATAAAGCAGATGGAAGCTCAAGAACGTGAGCGAGAACGCCAGGAGGCTGAGAAAGAAAGACGCCAGAAAGAACTAGAACTTGAAATGCAAAAAGAACAGAAAAGAAAGAATGAAGAACTCAAGAAAAAGCAAGAAGAGTTTCATAAACAACTAGAGGAGAAGCATCTACAAAAACAAAAGGAACTAGAAATACGTAAAAAGGAGCTTGATAAAAGAGAACAGAAGCGTATCCAAGCCTTAGAAGAGAAGCAGCAACAAAAAGCTCTGGAAACTCAAGAAAAACGTTTAGAAAAAGAACGCAAACTTGAACAGAATAAGAAGAACCAGATGAAGATCTTAGAAGCTCAAAGGAAAGAATTTCTAGAAAAAGAACAAAAAGCCGAACAAAAATTAGAGAATTTCAAAGGACAAAGAGATAAGGAATATGAAAACCGAAGAAAAGAAGCAGAGAAGAAATCTGAAACCATCAAGAAAGTACTCTCTCAGAATGAAAAGCTGCTTAAGAAGAGGAGAAAGGATATCTTACTCAAAGAAAAGGAATCCGAGCTTAGGAAGAATGAAGTTCTAGCTCTGAAAGAAGAAGAACACAAGAAAAAGAAGAAAGAACTACAGGTCAAAGAAAAGCACCGTAAACAAGTTCTAGGTAATGTGCATTTTAACCAGATTAGATCATAACTACGAGATTGAGCAACAAGAGAAAAAGAGGATTCTAGCCAAGATCGAGGAAGATGAACACAAATTTGAGAAAGCACTTAAGGATCGAGAGGCTTATCTGACCCAAAAATAAAGAAACCGATAAGCGTAAGCGTAAGGAACGTGAAAAGAACGTTAAGAAAATTCATAAAATGCAAGATAAGGAGAAAGAGGAGATCCTTAAACGTATCCAAGAAGATGATGAAAAAGCAGAAGCGATCAAAAAGGAAAGAAACCAGATTCTACAAATCAGAAATCAAATGCGTATCGAAGCTGACCTGATGAAGACTGAAATGAAAGAATACTTTGAAAAACTTCAAAACAAACAAGTCTCCCTAGAAGGTGCAAAGGAAATGATGGAGAACTTTTCGAAAAAATTTGAGGAAAAGCAGAAGAAGCTTAAATAAAATCTCAAGTAGTCAGGGAAGTACCCCAGTCAAATCAAAAGCTAAACCACAGGCGAAGTCACAGGTGAAGAAGAAAATTGATGTAGAGAAGGACACCAAGAAACCGGTAGAGCTTATTGATAACCTGTAGACTAAGAAAAAGAAGAGCTATACCCCAATGAGTGAAGAAGATATTAAGAAAAGTTTAGATGAACTCGCCAGAAAACAAAGTGAGGAACTTATGCAAGTTATTGAGCAAGAAGAGCAGAAAGAAGAGGAGAGGAATATCAATCTGCAGAACTCAGAACCATCTACGCATGATAGTCTTGAGTTAGAGTATGGTGTTGAGAGAGGTAAAGCGAGTGACAGGATTCAGAAGTTAGCTAAAAAGCATGATAAGAATCTTGTAGAGTTAGAAAAGAGACTTAGAGGAGTTGTATAATTAAATATACACAATATTCAATTTTAATCAGCAGCTAAGGGGTTTTGGGGTTTTGGGGTTTTGGGGTTTTGGGGTTTTGGG